ACTGGTTGGGCTTTTAGAATGGTGTCTATTGTGGTTTCAGCTGTCTCGAACAAATGACTCAACAAGCAATGAAGACACTGTTCTTCATGTTATCTTCATGAGTGGTAGACATGATTCATCTGATTGTCAGTCTACTGGGAATGATCTTTTATCTTTGATCAACAGATGAAATATGCACTTTGGAAGTTTGGAAGAACTATGCGAGAGATGAAGGATTTTCCCTGCTTTAGTGGATTTTTTCCACACTGATAGGAACTCCTTGTAGATCCTCGCATTCTTCAGTGATAGCACCAAAATCCTGGGGTGGGGGTGAGAGAAAGAGAGAGAAGGATTTGTGAGCCTCCATCTCTAGATTTCAGAGGTCTGTTTGGACGATGTTAAAGACAAACGGGAACTTGCAAACAACCTGACAAAAAGTTACTGAGCTCTTTTAAAGATAGTAGGAACTGCAGATGCTGGAGAATCTGGAGAAAAAGGGTCTGAAGAAGGGTCTAGGCCCGAAACGTCAGCTTTCCTGCTCCTCTGATGCTACTTGGCCTGCTGTGTTCATCCAGCTTTACACCCTGTTATCTGAGCTCTTTTAAAATTGCTTTTCACTTGGCTCAAAATTCAAGTCTAGCAGGATTAGTTTCCTCAGGAAATAGATCAGGAAAATGGAGATGAATTGGAGCAGCAGTTCAAGCGGGTATTTACATTACACATTATCTTATCTGAGTTAAACATCACTAAGCACAGATGAGCTCTCAGTTCCCTCTGACTAATGTTTGGTAGAAAACGTTGTTGTAGATACAGGGTTTTTCAACCTTAGAGAATTTCAAATTTACAAGATCAAGATGGTAGGAGCCTTGGTTGTGTTTAACAGAACCAAAAATCATCAGCATTCATAGCATATCCAATCACAAGAGTTACAGAGAGAGAATTAGCCACATGATGAGGTTATGAGTCAGACGATGGCAAATATGTACAAGACCAGCTGGTGATGAAGTAGTTTTGGAAATGACGATCATTCTCAAACCTTTCACCTCTGAATCCTTCCAGAGTACTATCACAGGCACATGCAGGGTTTTGCCTTTTGTTTTAATCAACCGATTCAGCCTGCTTATGACAAGCTTCTGGAGCAGGTGGGACTTGAGTGCTGGCCTTCTTGCCCAGAGCTGGGTCACTATCTCTGCAAGACAAGAGCCCTCAGGGTCTTGCCTTTAGGTGCATAGAAATACTGAAGTCAGTCACTTATGGCTTGCTTACCAAGGTTGACAATTTGTGAAATTTCTCTTGTGATGACAGAAGAGATGGGATCCTGTGAGGAATTGTTCTCATGGATGTGCTGTGGCATTTGCTGTATACATGCCCTTCTCAAGGACAGTTAAGAATGGGCAATAAATGCTGGCATACCAAGAATACTAACATTCCATTCATTAATTAACAAAAAAGTGAACCATCCTGGACAACTGTAATTTCCGTTTGCTGACTGTCCCTTTAAATACCATAATTTGGGACAATTCTGCTGTTATCACAATCTACAGCCTGCTTAGTTTGATATTAAAACAGAAAGTGTCAGATAAACTCAGCAGGTCTGGTAGCATCTGTGGTGAGAGAAACAGTGTTAGCATTTTGAGTCCTATATGACACTTGTTTAGAACCCACTCAGTTTAATCCCCGGTTTTCCTTCCACACAATTCAACCATCGCTATACTACCTCCCCGCTGCCACCACCACTACAACCAGGATATTGTCTTACTAATGGTGGGCTATTGATTTTGAAGTCGTTCAACTTTTGTGACAGTCACCTGTTGTGCAACAAGGTATTCGTGATCTGTCTTTTATGTCCAATTATCTAACCTGTATATAAATTTGACTCTGCAGCTGCTTTCCACATGGCTGCAAACATGTGGACCACACCTTTGTTGTCTCAATGTTGTGGTGAAAGGATGATTTGCTGGCCTGTGGCATGTTGTTCCAGACTTCAGACATACACTACAGGCTACAGAGCTTAGAGATTTAGTTTGGTCATGAAAACTGCCTTTCTGCGTAAACATGAGTAGAGAATTAGGAGAGAAATACACCATCTCAAAGAGTGGTGATTACAAATTCACTAACAGTCTTCAAAAGGGAATTGGATAAATACTCAAAAGGAAAATAGTTTCAGGGCTATGAGTGGTGGTACTCATTAAACATTATTTCAAAAAGTCAGTACAGCTGCATTGGGCTCCAGTTCCCTCTGGTGCTGTATCATTCTATGAACTATTCAAAAGATTTGATATTTGGAAGAGACACTAAACTGGCCAAATGATTTGAGAGTGAAGAAAGGGCTTGAATCTTTAAAAAGGTTATGCTATTCACAGAATAAACTTTAACTTCATCAAAAAGCCAGTCTTGATCATATTACTGAATTTCCCCTTATCTCAATGCCTGTTTCTAAAGAAATGCACTTCTGGGAAATATGTGTTAATATTAATAATATCCATCTGGTTCTTGGGGAATCTCCAGCTCTCCCAGTGGCCCAACTGTTATGATTGAACTTTTGTTTCAAAAACAACAAATGATCTCAGTAGAATACAAATATTAAAAATAAACATGTTTTTGATAGACTAAAAAAATTAAAGTATTAAATTTGTGTCAGATTATCTGACCAACAATCCTGCTCCTTGTTCCTCTCTGGACCGGAACAACTGCTTCTGTTTGTTTTTTCTTTGCTGTGTTAATGAACGACCAACTGCCATGCAGATAACTTTAAGCAGTTTAATGTTAAACATTACTATCATTGATCCAACAGAAACCAGCGTCACCAGCAAATCACATGGTTCTTAGCATCTTATTTCTGTAAATTATTAAAACCATTTGGATTAAAAAGCATTGGATATTATGGCAGCACTGAATGAGTAATCTACGATGAAGTGTGTTGCATGCAGCAGTAGCATCTGACCAATTTTTTAGGTTGATTTATGGACTATAACTATGACTTCTGTTGCTTGGTTCCATATTAAAACAAGGTTAGAGTGAGGTTGCAGCCTTTCTTCTGCTATTTGAAGGGACTCCTCAACATTTGATTGGATTTCAGTCCCATGCTGCTGACCACCTAGTGCAGAGGGGAGTATGGTACATCAGAAGGACCTTCTCATGGAGGTATTCCTGGGCTTGGTCAGGTTGACCATCCACAGGCACAAGTTGAATTGAAGCAGTCAATCTGGTTGCCTGGTTACTTGCCCATCTTTGTGCCATTGACAGAGAGAGAGAGAGAGAGAAAATGCAGGATTTGACAGTACAGTATGTTATAGCCCTTCCGCAGCCAAACGCAAACAAACATTTGCATCTGCTTCTCACAATCTGGCATTTTCTAACATTATATGGTAATTCCAACTTTGTTGTTGTACAATACGAAGATGGATTTTTCATTTTTTCATAGAAACCCTACAGAGTGGAAACAGGCCATTCGGCCCAGCAAGTCCACACCACCTTTCTGAAGAGCATCCCACCCAGACCCATCCCCTTACTCTCTCTCATATTGGGATTTACTTGGAGTCATAGAGTCATAGAGTCATAGAGCATGGAAACAGACGTTTTCGTCCAACTCATCCATGTCAAACGTAATCCCAAACTAAACTAGTCTGACTTGTCTGCGTTTGGCTCATATCCCTCCAAACCTTTCCTATTTATGGCCTTATTCAAATGTCTTTCAAATGTTGTAACTGTACCTACATCCTACTTCCTCTGGCAGATCGTTCCACATACGAACCACTCTCTGTAAAAAAGTTGCGCCTCATGTTCTTTTTAAAATTTTCTCCTCTCACCTTAAAAATATGTCCCCTGGTTTTGAACTCTGTCACCCTAGAGAAAAGACACTTGCTATTTACTTTATCTATGCCTGTCATGATTTAATAAACATCTATAAGGTCAGCCCTCAAGCTCCTACTCTCCAATGAAAAAAGGCCCAGCCTATCCACCCTATTTTTGTAATTCAAATCCTCCAGACCCAGCAACATTCTGATAAATTTTTAAGAACCCACTCCGGTTTATTAAAGGACAACCAGAACTGCACACAGTGCTCTAGAAGAGGCCTTTCCAATGTCCTGTACAACCTCAACATGACATCCCAACTACTATACTCAAAGACAAAAACAGAAGTTGCTGGAAAACCTCACAGGTCTGGCAGCATCTGTGAAGAAAAAATCAGAGTTAACGCTTCGGGTCCAGTGACCCTTCCTCAGAACTGATGGTAGCTGGGAAAATGTTGGTTTGTATGCAGAAAATAGGGAGGAGAATGGGGTAGGGAGCAAACGATAGGCTAAAGGATAGAGCCTGAAGAGAGAGAAGAGCAGTTGGGTAGACAAAGGAATTGATAATGATCTGGCAAGAGAGTGAATAGCTTTTAATGGGGACTTTAGTGACTGACACTAGGTAGTGTGTAATGGCAGGCTATGTGATAACAAGCCCTGGTGTGTGGGGTAGAGGGCTAGGACATGGGAGCGTTTAGGCCCTAAAATTTTTGAACTCGATATTGAGTCCGGAGGGCTGCAGGGTCCCCAAGCAGAAAATGAGGTGTTGTTTTTCCAGCTTGTGTTGAGCTTCAGTGGAACACTGCAGCAAGCCAGTGACGCAGATGTTGACCAGGTTGGTTTGTTCCTGATATACAGCTTCCGCAGTTCTTTCGGTTTTACTATACTCAAAGGTCTGAGCAATGCCTTCTTAACCACCCTGTCTACCTGTGATGCAAATTTCAAAGAATTATGTACCTGAACCTTTAGGTTCTCTGTTCTACAACACCAAAGAGGGCCCTACCATTATTTGTATAAGTCTTACCTTTGATTGTTTTATAAAACTACAATACTTTGCATTTATCGAAATTAAACTCCATCTGCCACTCCTCAGCCCATTGACCCAATTGATCAAGATATCTCAGGTAACCTTCTTCACCGTCCACTATACCACCAATTTCATCTGCAGACTTACTAACCATGCTTCCTATATTCTCATCCAAATCGCTTGATTGATTCAACTCTTACCTATCCAGTTTAGCCAGAAGCTCCACAGCAACAAGGTTCTCTTCTTACTCCCATACCATTACTTTCAGATACCCCCAATGATCCATCCATTGCCCTCTCCAAGTCCTCATCTGTACTGACACCTGTGAGTGGTATCTGCAGGAGGTGGGGTCAGTTTACTCAAGTATGTTGACGATATTGTACTCTACCTCTTTCCAATTATACTCGACGAGTTTTCTTGTCTACTCCTGTTTCCAAAATCCATTCCTGGATAAGCTACAGTTTCTTTCTGTTGCAATAAGTTGGTAACACTGATGTCTTCAAATCCTACTGCAAACTCCAGACGTCCTTGACCACAGTTTTGGGATCGGCTGGAAACCCCCTCCCCGCAACTGTCTCTGCGTCTGTTTCAAGCTCGAACCACATATCCGCCCCATTCACAACGACCTCCTAGTTCCAATTCTGTAGCATCGCCCGACGTTGCCCTCAATCAAGCGCTGATGGAGCCTTTACGTGGTGAGGAATGACTGTTTACCCTTGTCCGGACAAACTCCAGCTCATCCAAAATGTTGCTCCCCTTACCCTCTCCTTAACACTGTCGTATAAGCCAGAACCTATTTAGATTGGCTCCCAGAATTCCAAGTAATAAAAAAACGTTTCTCATCGTTGCAGGTAAATCTCTTCATGGCCCAGTGTTTTTAAAATGCGATTAAAGACTGTGCCTGTCCCACCTTTAATTCCAGAAGCAGCAGTTGTGTGGGCCCCAACGTTGAGTTTGCTGGTGTTGCCGTTTGAAGAGAGTGAGGATTGGGTGGTGCGAAAGAAGGGGGGGTTGGGTGAGGGGGGGGGGTGGAGCGCCGACCGGAAGTGGCTCCGCCGGCGCAGCCACACAATAAACGTTAACGGCCGGAGCGCGAGCGGGAGCCGGATCGGGATCGGAGCCGCGCGCGCACACACCTCCCCTCCCCCGCCGGGACTGGGGCAGCAGTGAGTGAGGGGCCGCCTGTCCCCCTCCCCACATATACAGACACACGGTGAGTCCGGGGAGGGGCGGCGATGCGGCTACAGGAGGGAGACCGACAACCCCCACCCCCCAACCCTCCCCATCTACATCTGGATCACTCCCCACTGCATCTCCGCTCTGCCGTCTCTTTACTGCATCTCTCTCATCCTGTCTTAACTCGATCCTCCACTCCTCACTTTACTGGATGTCTCCTGCCCCATTCCTTTTACTGACTCTCTCTCATCCATCTTTATGGATTCCTCCACTGTTCTATTGACTGGATCCATTCACCCACCCACCCCCTCTCTCTACTGGAGCCCTTTCCCCACCCCGTTTCCTTTACCTGATTCCGTCCTCCTGTCTTTACTGCATCCCCACCCTCCCGTTACTAGATCTTCCCCACATTAGGTTTCTTCTCGTCCTGCTGCACTCCATATTCTTCCTTACTGGACCCCCACAATTCCCTGGACACTGGATTTCCTCCACACTGAGCCCTTCTACCTCTCCCTGAAGCTCTCTTAGACCGTATAATGTTTTCTCGTGCCTCACCACCTCCTTTTCCAGTTGAGGAGACCGTTTGCCGGTATATGAGCCCTGAACCAATGTTGTGGGCTGATGTTGTTCCTGCCATATGCTGTTCCTGGCCCAATTTATTTTTGGGGGAGGCAATGTGAAGAATACAAACCTGCAGGAATAGTCTTCCCATACACTGGTCCTGACCCACTAATGGGGACAGTATGCACTATTTGTTGGCTCTGACACACAGTTTGGGGAGAATAGTCTCTTATATACTGACCTGAGTCTCCCAATGTGATCACGGAGGTACAGTCTGCGTTTAAAGTGACTGTAATGCCCCTTGTGTAATTGAGAGACAGTCTCTTTGAACTGATGGTAGTCTCTTGCATGCAATTGTTCATTCCGCTGTTGGAAGTGACTAATTGTGGAAATGGTTTGGGGTGTGGGTTGTGATTGGTCCTTGGAGTGACTAGTTTTGGGTGTAAATGTGCAAGCCACAATTCAGCTGGCTGTGTTTGCCTCATGTGTAGTACATCAAACACAATGTGATTCAAATTCTCATCTGAATATATTTACATAGAGAGTGCTTTATACTCCTATCAGGCAAAGGTTCAACTCTGACAAATTATGATCCAAGTTTTTTTGTGCTAGTTTTCCTGTTGGTTTGGCAGAATGATTGGTCTCTGATGTTTGTGCACGTATGTCCTTAGTACTCAAAGTAATGGAATTTAGTTTTATCCGTTTATTGTCATCTTCAGATTACGAGCTTGGTTTCCATCTATTTAGTAGACAATCTGTGGTTCTACTGGAGAAAATGGATTTAATACTTGGAATATGATGGTATGCAGATTGTTTTCTCTTAAAATAAGCAGTATTCCTTTCCAATTTTCTCCCCACCTTGTTCAAAGTTGCAGACTTATACAGGGATTTAGTCCCTTGGCTAAATATAGTTTTTGTACACTGCTGCAACAGAAAAATGACATTCTCTCAATATGTGATATCTGTAAGTATTTTTCAGCATGGGTACTATTGTGATGAGGAATATTCAGGAGATTATCTCTTTCTTCCTTTTTCCCCTAGCCCTGTACATTATATCTGTTCCTGAAGTATGTGCAATTTTTGTAGTCTTTAAACCCTTTCGAAAAGGAAAATTTGATCTATAAGTTAATTTAAGAATGCCTGCCTCGCATACACAGTAAAAGTTAGGCCACATTGAGATCTTATTTCATTAAAGAGTTTCCATCTGGTTGTATCTCTTTGTTACAACTTTTTTATAATTAATTTCCTGTGACTTTTTTTTTTCTTTTGCTCTTTTTGGTATAGATGTATGAGGTTTGCGGTCTAGAGATAGGTTTTCCTTTACTAACCGCAAAGTGTGACTATTATGTTGAAAACAGAAGTGAAAAGTAGCTAGTCACGAGCAAATACAAAAACACACTACTTGCGAGGATAAATTGCCTCTAGAGTGGATGCTTTGCAAAGAGCCAGCATGGACTTGATAATAAATGGCACTCTCCCTGTGACTGGGCATTGCATGACAGTATTTTACAAATTGTTTATACCCTTTTTGTGTTTTTTAATTACTCTCTAACTTTTTACCTTCCTGCTGCTGAAAGGGCTGGCTGGTGCTGAGGTGGTCTCATGGGTGTTGCCTATTCCCTTGGGTTTTTGCTTGAGTAGTTATTACATATGAGGATGAGTGCTAAGTGTCAGTGGGACTTTACTTTGCAGGGGGTCAGGGAATTTGGAGAGGAGAAGGTTATCAAAGCCTGGTTGTGTTCTTGCTTGATAAGCTGACAATGCCCCTGGACAGTGATTAGGAGGAGCAGGAATCATGGGCAATTTTTACATTTCAGTCCAGTGGTACTTATGTCCATTGCTGATCAATGCTACTACCATGACTGACATGAACTAATGCAGTGCAAATTGGGGATCAAACTGGTGAGTTCCTGGACTGTAGCGCTGTCATTCTTGTTGTGTAAGTGTGTTCTTGACACCAGAATAACTTGCTAGATTAAACCAGTATTGTAAATGTAGAATCATTGATTACTAATTATTCCATAAATTACAGCTAGTGAAGAAGCCTAGCTTAGAAGCAGTAAACCAGTTGGGTGTTTTACGACAATTGACAATGGTTACATAGTTGTGATGTACATGTAATAACCCTACCAGGAGGCCCGGTTCAAGTCCCAGTGTTCCAGAGATGTGCAATAATGTCTCTGAACAGGTTGCTTTGAAAATAGGCTAGAGGCAGCCATTAATTGGGCCCTCTTGTGGTAATGTCCCTACCCCTGGACCAGGAGGCATAGGTTCAAGTCCCATCTGCTCCAAAGGTGTGTAATAACATCTCTGAACAAGTTGATTCGAAAAATAGGTGTTAAATGATTTTTTAAAAAAATACGTAGTTGCCACTAGACTGGCTAGTTGTTCCAGTTTTTAAAAAATGAATTCAGATTTCATTGTCTGCCATCATGGGATTCAAACCAATGTCTGAATTGCTAGTTCAGTGACATTAGTCTATGCCACCAGCTTTCCAGTGCCTCTTTCTAAATGGGGGATCCAAATGGAATTGTATGCTGTGAGTTCAATAGATTCTGTGCAGAGTTGGTATTGGCAAAACCGAATCAGGTTGGCATCCTTTTTACATTCTCCTGCTACTCCCACTATCCCATACCTTGGCTCATTTCTCCATCATTTGCTCTGTAGTGACAATGCTGATGGCATTTGATAAGATCCCTGAAAGAGTTTTGTTTTGCTGCTGGGATTAAGCAAGTTGGATAGCATCGATCTTCTAGTGCACTCTAACGTTTAAGAGCCAGATGTTTGCCAGTAGCTACAGTATCATCATGCACATGTACCTTAAATAAGCCTGATGCAATGGTGCTTGATTTTAATTATGATTTTGTGAAATGTCTCCGGATGCTTAACTTAGTGAAAGGCACTGTACAAATGCAAATTGTTGTAGTAGTGGCTGTAGCATGAAGTTGTTCTGTTCTTCTCCTGTGCTGAGCTACCGGAGTGCAGAGCAAGAGCTGTTTCACAGATTGGCAACCAAAGATGTGATTAAAAAAATGAAAATGCCTCCAAGTACAATTGCAATTGGTTTACATTTGCTTGAGAAAAGAATACAATCCTTTATAAGCTATAAATGCCTTTAGTCAATGGACTAGATCTTCCCTCTGCCCTAAATGCTATGTCCTAAGGAATATTGAAATTTAGAATTATTCACTCTCTTGTAGTCTAACCTGTTTTTCCCTACCAGTAGAAAAGTGGTAACATACATTCTTTAGTTTTCCTATCCTTCAAGATTTAAAGTCAAAGTCAAATATCTCTTCATTTTCACTTAGGTTTCCGCTTAATCTTTTGTTCTTTCCAGCCATTTCCTTGCATTGAGACTTGGCCATATTCCTTTAATTTTTAAGTAGCTGAGAACAGGATTCCAAACTTGGACCTGATGGTTGGAGTAGGTCAGGGTTAGTAGCTATTCTACAGGGCATGGAATAAATCAGAAGACAATGAAGGTACACTAGAAAAGGCAGGACATTAATCACGGGTGACTTTAATTGTCATGTAGACTGGAAAAATCAAATTGTCAAGGAATAAATCCTAAGTGCAATTGGGATAGTTTCCTAGAACAAAATGTTGTGGAACCAACTGGGGTTCAGGCTTATTTGGATCTGGTAATGTGTAATGCGGCTCATTTAATAGCCAGCGTAAAAGATCTTTAGGGAACAGGTTTATGATAGAATTTAGCATCCGTTTTGAGAGTGAGAAATTTGGGTCAGAAACCACTATATTAAACTTAAACAAGGAACAAAAACAAAGTTACTGGAAAAGCTCAGCAGGTCTGACCGCATCTGTGAAGTAAAAAACAGAGTTAATGTTTTGGGTCCGGACCCAAAACATTAACTGTGTTTTTTACTTCACAGATGCTGCCAGATCTGCTGAGCTTTTCCAGCAACTTTGTTTTTGTTCCTGATTTACAGCATCCGCAGTTCTTTCAGTTTTTATTATATATTAAACTTAAAGGTAATTACATGGGAATGAGGATCGAGTTGGCAGGACTGGACTGGGAGAGGAGTTTAGCAGCAAAGATGGTTGATGGTAAATGACTGACTTTTTTTAAAATGTTAATGATCCACAACAAGAATATTCCTTGATGTCCTTGTGAGGAAGAAGGATTCTAGGTAGGGAATAAACCAACCACGGTCCACCAGGAAAATTTAAGGACAGTAACAAGTTTTTTTTAAAAAAATCTACAACTTCACAAAGA